CTCCCCTCCCCTCCCCTCCCCTCCCCTCCCCTCAGTACATGAATAAGTTAATATGCACATAAGCAGACACGAACACAAATACATAAATGGTTATAGCCAAACAATAAGTACATATCTACACTAGCAAATGAATAAATGAGCAAATTCGATACATACAAAAATATATAAGTATATGATGCACATTCATTTATACACACAGAAGCATGGGTATATGTTTCAGGGGCACGGGCCGGCACGGCCGAACACCCGCAACACGTACTACCTGCGCCTAAGCCGATCAGTTCGGCTCGAGCTTCTGGCTGAAGCCCCCGCAGTCAGTCGCGTCGCAAAGAAGCGTCGCACTTCGGGTGGCTCGGCTCCCCGCCTGAGAGCGTTGAGACTGTATCCGCGGCGCACGGCCTGGCCGCGCGCACTCTTGTCACTATGGGTTCAGACTGGGGAGCAGAGCAGGAGTGTGTCGGTCCATGGCCGGGTGATGTCGTTTCGCAGAAGTCGGTGTACACGTGCAAGCTAGCTGCCGCATCCTGCCCGATCCAGTTCACTCTTTGGGGCCGGAATCGCCAAGCAAAGGGGCGTGTTTAAGATTTATGAGGCAGCGGCATCGCCAATTCGGAGCCAAGTGATTTCAAGCATGTTTGCTGAGACGTGCCGCAAGTTCTTGTGCCAGAGAGTCACAATTGAAGCAAAACAGAAGTCACATGTGAGCATGTATTCGGGAAAGGCTGGGAAAGCCACAAGTAGGAAAAAAAAGAAGTCACAAGTGAGTCGCGTACCGGTTGTGCTGGGACAGGGGGTTCTTTTTGTCCAGGGCCCGAAAGACGACACAAGCGCAAGGATCTCATGACTAAATCTAGCGGTTCCCTTCTACTCTAAACATAGGATCCTCATGTTGCAGTGCTCCTTTGGGATGTAGCCTGGAGCTCAAGTTTAGGGCTGTAGGCTGGGCACCATGACTTAGGGTCAGGGTCTGGGCGTCGAGCGCCATCAAGCCCTTCTAAATCCAGAGGTTATATAAGGGGTACCCAGTGGTATTACTACGAGCCCTCTGAGGAGCATTGGTTTTTGCATGTGATCCCCGAAGTTTCAACCCAGGTGCCGCACCTGTCTCATGTCTTTGGCGGCGATCGCCGCCAGTGGCAGCGGTGCCATTGCAGCTGCGGCGCCGCAGCTGCTGCTGCTGTCGCCTTGCAGCCTATTTTTCGTAAGTTACTGCTACAAAACATGCTGCAATACTGTTTTCCGCTGGTTGCCCAGCGTTTCGTGACCGTTAGTACCCTAGTCCCTACTTGTTTTACAGGTTTTCGGAGATGCTTTCTTGCCTGCTGGAAGACACGTACGAACAAAGCGAGGAGCCTACCATAGCCGAACTAGGAAATGGGTTTAGGGCTGATTTCGGCTATTGGGGTTAGAGTTGAGCTCGGCATGATTGACAAATCCCTAAATTGTACATTCGAGGCGAAAATCTGCAAGGTTTTCGCGTTGCGAGCCGAATGGGAAAGGCAACTAGACCTGTACACAAGGCATCAAAGCCCTTGTCAACTTAATTTTTACAAAGCGCAACAAACCTGGCAGAATCCGCGCAAGAACTCAGAATCATTAAGCCTTGAAAAACATTAACCCATCAAGGATCAAGAACCCCCTCAGCAGGAACCCTAAGTCCTAGCCGAATACTGTTCTGTGGCTAGAGGCTAGTTCGGGCTTGAAGAGTTTGGCATTACACTGGCCTTGCGACATACCAAAGCTTGTCCGTAAGAATAGACTTCTACCACGTTGCACCCGCGAACCCTCTTCACTTTAAGCTAATCCCACTCTGAACCCTCAACCCTAAACCCTAAACCCCCGCAGATTTTTCCCTCAAGCCTTGAACCCTTAAAGCATGGAAGCCGTCGAGCCCGGACTCCACCCGAAACCCGTTGACTCTGAACGTGTACGCTAGACCGCAAAGCCTTAAGAGCTACATATCACGAAGCCCCAAAGCTCTTTCAAGTTGTAAATCTTTGAAGTAGCCCCCGCGGCTCTGAACTCCTCCAGCTCAATCAGGAGGCTTTAAATCTCTGAAGCTTACACGCCCCAAACCTGCAAGAAGCAAGCTGAGAGTTTACTAAGGCATAGTAAAGCCTGGAAGCCCTAATGTTTTGCTTGTTCATTGTTACGGGACTAACCATTTATATATTAGTAACATTGGCGCTTGGAGGCTTGAAGGCCCTGAGGCTAATCCTTGGCACGGAAACCCAAGGCCCTAATCAACCTTAAACCACTCCTTCTGAACGCCTCAGTCACCAAAACCCCTAAATCCTGATATGATGGTCTTACTAAACCCCTCCTCGAGGGCTCGCTCCACTCCTGCCGAAGATCCAAAAACTGAAACCCGAAACCCAGCAACTGAAGCCCCAAACCCAAAACCTAAAACCCTAAAGCCAAAGCCAAAAACTCTAAAGCCCAAACCAAAAAAAGCAAAAAAACAAAACCTAAAAACCCTAAAGCCCAAAAGCCCTAAAGCCCCAAACGAGGCTCTACAAGGAGGGCCCTGTCCTTCCCCCGGATGTCTGGATGCCCATGGCACCCCTCCTGGAAGCGGCCCCTTGGTCCGGATTTTGGGTGCTGTGATAGGGTTACCTTTACGGGTTCGGTTTTCGGTTTAGGGTTTAGGGTTTAGGGCCCCGCTTTTAAGGGTTCCGCTTTAAGGGTTCGGATCTTTGGAGGGATCCTTCGAAGGATTTCACGGGATTTTGGGGTGTCTCGGAAAGGAGATTTTGGTTTGCTGAGGGGGTTGTTTGGAAGTTTATCAGGTGTTCACGGCATTATGAGGTGTTGCATTGTGATAATGACGAACATTCCCTTCTTATGTGTTTATGCCTTCAAAAAATACATGTACTGATTGAAATCGACTGATTGATTGACTTGGTTTGGTTTGATGTGTTTTGGCGTAATGTCGCCTGATTTGGTTTCGCTGGGTTTTGATGGGTTTGTTCTTGTTTTTTTTTCCGTATTGTTTCTAGTTCTAGATGCTGTTCTTACAATGTTCGGCGAGTTTAGGCGATTGGCCTCGGGGGCGGATAAAGTGGGTATCCCGAAGCTCTGAACTTTCCAAACTTCAAACCCTTCATCGACCTTTATGGCAGGGCACGAGAACCTTCAACGCCCCCCCCCGCCCCCCCCAGGGGTTTAGGGTTGAGGGTTTAGGGTTTAAGGTTTAGGGAGCCAACACAAGAACCGGCGGCCACACCACAACAGAAACCGTGAGCAACGAACGGTGCTTTTCAACTTCGGTGAGGTCCTGGCCCACCAGAGCAGCGAGGCTTTTTGTCGGGCTTCCCATTGTTGTTGTTTGTTGATTTGTTGTGGGGTTCCATCAACTTCGCGAGGGGGGTTTACATGGGTTGATAAGGGTTTCTGCGCGGATTCTTGAAACCAGAATGGGTCTCACAAAGGTTCTGTACAGGCGTGGATTCCAGAAACTGTTCTATGAAGCTGTATCAGGGGCTTACGAACGGATTGCACAAAGAGTTCTACACAGGTTTCATTAGGTTTGGTTTGGGAGCCAGGGTTTGGACACATTCGGGCATCAGGTCCTTTCTACAAGCCCTAGGCCCGAAACTCAACCCCATGCCCTGCACCCTGCACCCTAAACCCTACGTGCTCCCCTACGCCTTAAGCTGTTTAAGGAATGCAGGAGGCACAAAACAATCTTAAGCACGCCCGAAACCCCAAAGGGTTTAAGGCCTTTCGGTCGAGTCCCGTAGGCCGCCGAACTTCTGGGGCGACTTCGGCGGGGCAGTGGAAACTTCGCGATGGCTCCGGCGAGCAAGCCCGGCTCGCTTGTCTCAGTTAAGGTGTCCTGGGTAGCTTTGTAACTATTGTAACTATAATGACATAATACGGCTAGATTTATACAGTATTCGTGACAACGTCCTAATTCCTAACATTTTGTAAGGCCCTGCAAAAGCCAAAGCCTGCATCCAGGAGCCTTGGGCGGGGAGCGACGGCCCTGGGACACTGCACCGGCACCACAGCTGGCGAAGGCAATGCTTTTTCCGTGGCTTTAAAATGTGCGCTCCCCTGTTGAATGTTGATCTTTCCCATGTTGCCTGTTTTTCCAGTCTTGTTCTTGGTGCTTTTCGTTTCTTGCTTGAGTTGTTAGTTTTTTTCCCCTTTGGTTCGCCTCTTCTCAGTTCCCGTTTGGCTGGTGTTGAGCCATAACAGTTGCGGCTTCAAAGTTTGGTGTTCTGGTTTCTTGAGGGCTGGTAGCATTCCACCCATAGGCCCAGGCTTTCTGTTGCCGGGCACAGCCCCGTGGTGATGACGACTGCGAGTGAGTCTCTGAGCGGCTGCGGCAACATGATCCCCACACATCTCGCTCTCTGTCCCTCCGTCTCTTTTTTCTCTCTCTTTCGCTCTCTCTGCCGCTCTCTCTCTCTCTCTCCCTCCTTCCCTCCCGCGCACATACTATAGTTCTGCACCACTCGCAGAGGTGCAAGAGGCTCCTTCTGCGTGGGACGCATGGAACACGGCACCACAGGCGCCTGCACCAGTGCCCTGGCTGTTTCGTGGCTTGTCATGGCCATGGGCTTCCTGGGATGAAGGGTTGCGGAGGGGAGGGAGTTCTTTCTTCAATCTAGTGAATCTAGTGGTTGTTTGAGAACATTTGGCGTTCTTTCGGGTTTGATTTGCGCAGCCTTATACTAGTAGGTTGGACGCTCTCAAATGGTAATTCCGTGTCAAGGATTGCCCAGATGTCCCGACCTTCGTCGTCATCATCGTCATTCCAGGGGTTTGTCTTGATGCTGCCAAGCACATCAGTGTTTCCAAAAGTCACGACGAAAATCTTTACGAGGGCCTTTTGGAAAGAGTATACCCTTTTGGGGGATTAAAGACTTCTCATCACAAGGTCAGCAAGCAGAAACTAGCCTTCGAGGCCCCGCCGGCGCCGGGGCCCCCGGCGCAAGCTGCGCAAGGCGCCCCCCCGGCCACTCCGAGCTCGGTGTTCCAGACGCTGCCTACGGAGGGCACGGTGGCCGTGGCGCATCAGCCCCCACATGTGGGCTTGCAGAACACGATGCCTGGCAGTGATTCAGAGAACGTCGTAGTGGTAGTGGTGGTAGTAGCAGCAGCAGCAGCAGCAGCAACAGCAGCAGCAGCAGCAGCAGCAGCAGCAGCAGCAGTAGTAGTAGTAGTAGTAGTAGTAGTAGGAGTAGTAGCAGTAGTAGTAGTAATAATAACAGTAGGAGCAGCAGTAGTGGTGGCGGTGGTGGTGGTTGTAGGTATAATTGTTTTGACGAGGTTGTGGCAGCTCCAATGCAAGCAGCCTGAAGCCCACCAAGGAACAACACTTGCTACATGAACAGCTTCATTCAGGGCCTGTACCTGACCGACGCCTTTATATGGAGACTGTTCTCTTTCAAGCTGCGTCTGAAGGATGCTCGGACGGTAACTTGAATCATTTGAACTCTGGGTTTTCTAAGTCAAGCCCTTTATGAAAGCCAAATCCCTGCGCCGTAAACACCTGACAGACCTCGCCTGGCTTGTCCGAGTTGTGAGAGCGAAATGTAGGTTCGAAAGGTCTGCAGCTTCGATCGTAGCAGTTTTGATGCGGACACTCCCTCTCCTACCCCCACACATGCTGCCAGTGAAATCTCCGGGCCAACCCTCGATCAGCAAGGGCGTAGGCTTTCAGGCTCGATGTTCTGCAGAGTAAAGTGGCCTGATCATCGGACCCCCTTCCCCTAATCAGCATCACAAGGCTAAGGGATGCGGATGTTAAGGCCTAAAGGCTGAATGTAAACAACGCCCCTGTGGTTTCTTAGTTGGTGATCTGTATTTCAAGTTGTCCTTGGTGGATGATCCAAGCCGTGGCTGCAAAAGCCCGGAAACCTGAAGGCTAAACTCGGAAACCCCTTTGCTAACCTCAGACAACCCCCTGGGAGCCTTAACATTCGAATGTGAGTCATGAAAGAGGGCACCACCATCATCGCAGCAAGCGCTGTCCAGACTGTAGCGTTGGTGTTGATAACAGTATTCAGGAGACGATCATCGCAAGCATCGCCACCGCCTTCCACAAGCCCGAACCCCGAACCCCTGTCTCTTACATACCCCTTTAGAGGAGCACGAACTGATGGGCCGACCCCTTCCAGCTTGTACGATAAGAGTGGCGGGTTTAGGGTTTGGGGCTTCCTTCCTAGAAACGGCCTTTGCATACATGCTGTCGCGAGTGCGAACAGATGTCCTGGTGTGACGTTGCAGGCTGCAGGCCGGTTGCCAACAAGGGTTGAGGGTCTATGTTAAGTTGCTTTTGGGAGGCTCCTACTTACAATCACAACGCAAGAAAACATGAACCCTCCAAAACCTCATGCCTCGAGAGAAGCTTTTGTAGAGAACCCTGATAAAACTCGTTGGCAAGCCTGGGCCAGAAACTTTTTCGAGACCCCTAAAACCCTAAACCCTAAACCCTACGCCCTAAGCCCTACACTCTTCTAGTCTCCTGAGCCTATCAGAAAAGAGCTGAGGACAACCCTTCCAAGGTCGACCAGGAGGACGGACCGTTTACGGCTCCCTCCTTGTTTAGGGCTTATATCGGGTTAGAGTTGATGGTTGAGGATGGGCCTAAAGCTCGAATCCGACGCTGTTCGCAGGACTTCGAATTTGGCACTAAGCTGGTTGAGCTCCTCCAGCGCCAGGCAGGGCATCCGAAACTTGGGGCTCAAGGCTTCTCGGCTTCCATCTTAAGATGGATAGACGTAGAAGTCTAAGGCCGGTACATAAAGACGTACAGATAGAAGTGACAAAATCTGCGTACACATATCGAAAAAGTAGGGCCGCACTTGTGTGCAAAGTCTGTTGGTCGTAAAAAGATGGTCCGACGATCCGGCAAAACTTCACACCCGCAACCTCAAGGTATCCGATGCTAGCTCTATGAAGGGAATACAGGATCAACCATGAAGCTTTCGTCTAGATTGCAGCGGTAGTTTGTTTTGTCAGTTTACTTTATTCCGAAAAGAGCAGCCCCAAAACCCTAAGTGCCGGTAGACCTACACAGACGCCTAAACCTGTGCGAGTTGCGAGAGTCGAAGCCTTAGATCACAGAATCTGCGCGAACCATGGACCGCAAGCCTTGCGCACCTCGGGTGTTCCATATTCTAGGCGCCAACAATAAGGCCTCTCTGCTTTCCAGCAATCTAGATTCTAGATGGGCCTGCAATAGGTCGCCAAGATGTCGATGACGCGCCATCCCAACACCGAAGCTCGGCAACCGTCTCCTTATGACTCGAAGCCTTCGGCTTTGGGGCTAAAGACTTGGGGGTGCAGGGTTTAAGTTTGAAGGCTGTTGGCTTGTCAGAGGTTTCAGCACACGGAGTTCTCAATTGAGGCATGTTGTTAGGAAGGACGCTGCCAAGGAATCTTGTCTCGGACGGTGGTTTTTGAACTGTACAGATCTGTGTGTGTGCGCATGTGTAGGCGTAACCATGAATAGAGTGAAATTTGGGCTTGTTCCGAATGTACTTCAATGCAGTGATTGTCAACGTCACGACGTCCTTGTCTGGCAGGCAATCAAGACGCAAACCTTTCTGCTGCCACCGACATGCTCAGAGCTTTTTGTCGGTGGCACATGTATCCACAGATACATACACGAAGACTTACAAATAGACGCATACTTGGGGCTTTAGTTTTTGATTCTCTCGTCACGGCTGTGGTCTGAGGACATCTGGGACATGCTGCAAAGCTTTCCAGACATTTACCGCTGCTCGTCAGCAGAGACGAGGTTTCTCAAACCGAGAGAGCATGTCCGAGTTGTGAGAGTGTGTAAGCCAAGAGGGCTGCTGCAGATGTTGCTTGTGCTGACGACGATAGCCATTGCGGTGCGGTTGTGATGGTGATGACGACGTGATGATGGTGGAGGCGGTCGTGACGTCGATGGTGAACATCTGCTGAGGATGCATTTTGTCCTGGCGAATCCGTCCCAGACCCTTACCCTCAACCCTGAACTCAAAGCCCCAATCCCGAAATCCTGACCTTTCCCCTTTGTCTTTCGACAGAGTTTGTTGCTTTGCGCTCCAAAGCTTCGAGGATCCGGAGAGCAGCAGGATGCTGCTTGGCTGTGTCTGAGACTTTTCCTTCAAGGTTTCTGTCGGGGTTCTGCAATACAGTTTGGGTTTTGGGAGGTGTAGGGGGCAGTTGGTTAGGTTGAAAATCGACCAGTAGCAGAACTTAGGCTTTTAGCTTCTGACTTCTGTGCTTGATCGATGTTAAGCAGCTTTAGCTTCTCATGGCCGTTCAAGACAAGAGCAAACGGGGCTTCCTCCGAAGTCTTTCCCGAAGCCCACACTTCCGGCACCTGCAAGTCGTGAGGATGAGGATTGTATAAGGGCTAGTTTTGGAGCTCCCAGGAAACGAAGCCTCTAAGCTTACTAAACAGACATCCCGAAACCCCGAAATCCTGACCCCAAACCCTTAGCCTTAAGCCTCAAGCCTCAACCTTACAGTTTGCAACTTCAGAGGTCACCGAGACCATCCGCTTCGTCTTTGAGAAGTCTGCCTTGGCTTGCTTGCTTTTTTGGGGGCGTTCGAAGGGCGTTTAGCGTCCCTTTGTTCCGGGGCTTTGGGGTTTTAGGGTTTCAGGGACTCTAGGGGGCTTGGGTTTAGGGTTTAGGGTTTAGGGTTTAGGGTTTAGGGTTTAGGGGCTTCGGTTGCAGGGGTCTGAGGTTACGGGATGTGCGGTTGCTTTCACCCACGTCTGAAACCACAAACCCTAGAACCCCGAAGTTGCCCAAAGAGCTTTTGCTTGAGCTTCAGGACCGTGATGGTGTGTGGGAGCAGTGACGTAGAATCCTTTCGTGGGTCGCAGGCATGTCGGAGTTTCTTCTGGATGTGTCGAGAAGGGCATTCTTTTGAAGCTCCGAAGTCTAGATCACAACCCCTAAGATAACACCGCAAACCGAACAAACCCCCAAAGCTCCAAAGCCTCAAGCCACCGCCCCGAACCTTAAATCCTGCGCCAAGAACCCCAAGGCCTAAATTCTCAATCCTTGATCCTAAACCCTCAACCATAAACCATAAACCCAAGTCCTAAACCCCAAACCCTAAACCCTAATCCCCTAAACCCCTACACCCTAGTTCCCCTCAGCCCATTGCAGGCTTGGCAGCTTCGAGCAGCCTCTTATTCGCGAGGTCTTTGCCGGGCAGCTGGTGGAGAATCTGCAATGCAAGGCACTGTTTTTGCTTGTGCTTCTATTTGTTCCTCAGGCATCCTTTGTCAGGGCAAAGAGTAGTTGAGCATAATGTTTTTCTTCTGGGCGCTGGTGTTGATAGTCTTCGTCTTATTGGCTATGGTCTCGGGTTCGAGGTTTAGGGTTCTTGCATCTGGAAGTGCTGCTTCCCAGCTGATTGGCAGAGTCTGGGTTCAAAAAGGGTTCTTGCTTGCAAGCCTGCAGCAAAAACGTGAACAATTCTTGATAATTACCACAGGTCCTTCAGAAGGCTTCTGCAAGAAGGAGTTTGGAGTTTAATTGCGGGGCCTTATTTCCGACTTCCGGGACTCCAACTGACAACAAAGAAAGGGGCCCGAATCCCTGGTAGCATCCTTTCCTGAGAGCTCCCTGATGCATCTGTATGCCCTTAGCCCTGAACCCTAAACGGTCCTAACTGCATGCATCTGTCTTCCGCATAAAGCACCCACCGTAAGCCCAGTCTCGGGTTCGTTGAGACGAAGCTTCAGGGTTTCAGGGTTTCACTTGCCCTTCAGCCTCCAACCCGCCATCCCCTGACCCGCTCAGACCTGAACACCCGAAACCCCAAACCTCAAAGTAGCCCTGAGGAAGATTTTGCGTTCGCCCCGATTGGGTTGGACAACTCCAGGGCCTAAACCCTGCAGCCGAAAAGTCAGCCTGACTAGCGTCAGGTCTGTGGCCACATCAAGGCCAAACCAGAGACCTTCACGGAGCCTCGTCTTCGGATTGGAGTCTACTATAGATGTCTGAAGATGTCGTAATAGCTTATGCCTTTGGCTTCCTTTTTCAGCACACCACGTGACAACTCCAACACCCTTTTCTATATAGATATCAGCTCACCTAGAGTCTGAGATCGGGCTTTGGGGTTCATTGGTAACTACTGCGTCCCGGGTGGTTCGTAGTTTGGGCTTTGGGTCTTTGGTTTCGGCTCAGTGTGTTGGGGGTTCAAGTTTGATTTTGTTCATTCCCCGTCCGATTTTTACACACACGAGGCCAGTTCTGGATGCCTACGGGATGGAGAGATATGAAGAGCCTCCACATTTTGTCCTTACGGGTTTGGGAGTCGCGGTTTGGCTTGCTGAGTGTTTGAGTTGCGAGACGGGCTGGATACCTTGTCTAGTCCGAGTCATCATATAAGTCTTGCTCCCATCACTGTACGGGGTTTTGCTCCGGAACCGCTGTACTTTGAAACTTCCCCCGAAAGATCTGAATAGTGGGCGATTTAACCCTTTGCAGGAACCCTGCAATCCCGAAAACATTGGCCTTACACGCTAGCCTCTGGACTTGCTATCATACCCCCCGCGTTTCAGCAGTTTCCCTGCAGGGCGACCTAGTCAGGGAAGCGGCTAGGGAAACAATGCTAAGCCCCTGGGCCCTGAACCTTCCGAAATCGTGAGAACGCGAGCGTTCAAGGACCTGGTCCTCTCTGTACCGACAGAGGAACAGGCCAGCCTGGGAATGGCGGAATGGGGCTCCGGGCTTCAGTGTTGGGTTTTAGGTATAGGGATTTGGCTTTAGGGCCGTAGGGTTAACCTGGCTGGGCGAGCTCCAATCAAGCCTGTGCAAAAAAAGGGGCTCTAGGGTTGAAGGCCGAGGTTGCTGGAGGAGGATTTACGGCTTTAGGGTTGAGGGTATGAAGGTTTTGGGTTCAGGGCGTTTTGGGCCTCAACTTAACTGGCGAGGCGATGGTGGCTGGCGGCGACAGCACTTCTTAATTGCTCTTTACTTGAGCCATCACCCAGCATAGCGGCTGAGTCGTAACTCACTACTCGTCCTTCGGGTTCCGGTACTGAAGGTATATAGGATGCCTTTGTCTAGTTCAGGCTTGACAAGTGGAGGATCCTAAAGTGATCTGAGATCTGAGCATCTCTGCATGGTTCAACCTTCGATGCTACAGCGCCAAACCCTGCATCGTCTTTCACCAGGGTCCTTACAAAGCGGCAGATCATCACCTTCAAGCATGTTCAGCCCAGAGTAGAGTATTGCCTTGATTATCTGCTTACGCTACTACTGCTGATAACGGCTAACATTTCGGTTAGTATCGCTTGGCTGCCGATATTATCTGCAGGAAGATCATTATGGCCGATGATACCCTGACTAAATGTGTTGGCTCTTTGCATACGACCCGTGCATGCTGCGAGAAGCCCGCGACACCAGGATTCAAACGTTCACCCCGATGAGCCTTCAAGTAAGGTGAAAGCGGCTGGCAGCATTCCCACTACGCAGGCACTTCTGGAGGTGCCGGGACACGGGGCTTGCAATAGGGGCTTTGTAATGGGTTCTCTCTTGCAGTCCTATAGGGTCTCATAAGGGTATAATTTACTGGGACCCACCTGAAGGATTCCCGCGCTCGGATTCACCAATGTCTTGCCGCAACAAGACCCCCCCAAAATGGCGCAGCACAAGATCATGCAATTTGAACTCAGGGGGTCTCTGGTTTTCGTTGTCCTGCTCCCTTTCTTAACTGGGCGTAAGATGTGTAAGCTCGGGATAGCTTTAAAGCCTTTCAAAGCAAGGGGGCGAACTGGCGGATGCAATGCCGAAGGCCTAAAGCACCGATGAACGGCAACATGTGGTTTGTGCGTCCTGTTCCTAGCTCTGCAACAATGTGAATATGCAAGTGCCCACCTGGGAGCTTCAACAATTACGTAGAGCCTGAGTAGTGGGATCGTGATTAGACTGCCCTTGCTTTGCGGCCCCCCTGCTTCAAGAGTTCACAAACTCCGGTACTGCAGGATCGGCTCAAGTTCGAAGAGCTGCCCGGCTGCGAATGATCAGAGTTGCGCGGAGCTGTGGAGGATGAGGGGTGACGAGAAAAACCAACCCCTTAAAGTAAGACCCACTTCAGAACCCCTCCCGGAAGCCCTTTGAGAGAGATCCTGCGCCCCGCCTCCGAACCGAGACGAACGCCAATGGAGGTGAGCAAAAGGTCTCGGATGATGGTGTGGGTCGGGGTGATGACGGACTGCAAGGGTTGGTCTCTGTGGTTCAATCGCACATGCGTTGCCGTGGCAATCGTCATCACCATCGGTTCCCCAAGATCCTCATAGCCAGCGCCGTCGCACCGTCACCAGTATCTTTGCCAAGCTCTGCTGTGCTACCACTCTCAGGGGTAGTACCAACACGGCACGAAATCTTCCTACCCCAGCATTTGTGTTTTCCATCGGGTTGGCAAAGTTTGTCGAGCAAAGGAACCCTAGGAGAGCCAACAAGGTGGTTGTCAAAATTAGGGTCCCTTTTTGGGTCCTTACTATAATACGGCACCTATCATTTAGGGTACCCCAAAAGGGGCCCTAATTTTGACAACTACCCAACAAGAAGTTGAGGCTGGATGCGGACTGCTTGGTGAACTGTGACCGATGCCAGGCGCCTTTGGCAGGGACGACTGGGTTGAAATTTATAGGGTTGGTGTTGGACAGAAAAATTGAGACGGCTGTGATCCCCAAACTACCCTGGAACTCGTAAAGCCTTTCGCCCCAACACAAGCCCGTGAGATAGAGAGCGCCACCTTCCAGCCAAAAGTCTACACAGCGCAGGGATTGCCGTGGAACAAGGGAGCCAACGTAGCCTCACGATTCAAGAAGGCCGCATACACAACTCAAACAGCCAAAGATGAGAAACAACAACCCACCTCGACATGCACAGGACAAGAGACAGATGGGCAAATGGTGCGAGATGCCTGCCCGCACTTCATCCGGGCACAGGGTTTTAGGCCTGCCCGTACCTCATCCTTCGCAGAGCCGAAGACCCTCCAGACAAACCAGTGCAGCATAGTCCGAATGGTTGTTATACGGCGGTTGCAGACAAGTTGAAGTTGCAGAGCTCATTTTTGAACGCCTTCTCCCTGATAATGGCGCTTGTGTGTGATGGCCCCGTAAAGCTCGAAACGCAAACCTTCCCCGGTTTAGGTGCATGGACACCTTTAAGCCCTATAACTTCAAGGCATCTTTCGCACGCTTTGGACCATTCATGTACCCTGCATGGTGTGCACAGGCATAGTTGGCCTAGCCCTAGACGGGCGAAGATGCGAAGCCTTACTCAGTCTGAACCCTTGCACGCTGAACCTCAAAGGAAAAAGCGAAGAGCTGACACCTAGAAAACCCTGAGCCCTGATAAACCCCCCTTTAAGGGAAGAGTTATTGGATCCCTTACAGGAATGCCCCAGCACAGCTGAGGATTGTCTCCCCGCCATGTCACATCTGCATCTGCGGCTCAAGCGGCAATTTTGCTTGGGCATTTTGAGGGTTCAGGGTTGCAGGCGTTCACGGCCTTCAGGGCGTGGCTCTTTTTGTCGAGGACCTCGGGCTCTTACGGCTCAGCGCTTCACAGCTCAAGTCTAGCTCCCTTGACCGCCATGAAGTAGAACAGCCTGCAATGCACCAAGGCAGAAGCCCTCAAGACTGAACCCCGGGCAGCGCAACTCCGACAATGCCCCCCCCCCCCCACTTAATCGGATCACTCCACAACTCTCACTCCCAAGTTTCGGATCCAGCTTATTGAGAGGAGGGCTCTCTACAGAGGATAGCACGAAGAGCGAACATGAAACCAGAGGAGAAACACACACACACACCCAGCAGTTGTAAGATTCAGCTTAAACTGGAACGCAAGCTCAAACCTTGAAGCCTTTCAAACCCTAAACCCTAAACCCTTGCTAAGTAGGAGGCAAAAAACCCTACCTAACCCTGAACCTTGAACCCTTAGGCCTTCGGCCTTCGGCCTGCTGGAAGGGACCTGAAGTGCTTGTTTCGACCCTTGAGCACGAAGCAAGCCCTTTAAGGGGGCAGCTCTTATAAGCCGAAAGCCCTTCCACCAAAAAAACACCTAAAGCCCGGACACCCTGAGCTTCTAATCTCGAGACCTGTAGCCCTATCCTCGCACTGGCATGAATCCTCCTGCAACCTTCCTGCCTAGCCCGATCCCCTAAATCCCAAGCCCCTTAAGCTCTACAGTAATCCCCTAAATGTTGGTAGACGGCCTATCGGCGAAGGCCTGAACAGATTCACGTTCAATGTGGAGAAGATGGACTTCACCAAGGAGATGGGTAAGAGTTGAGAGCCTACGGCCTGGGGGACTAGAGTGACTAGAGATTTAAGGAAACCTAGGGATGGATGACTGGTAAATTAAAAAGTTTAGAATGGGGGGGGAGTGAGTGAGGCTTGAGGGTTCGGGGTCGGGAGGGTTTTGGGGTTTCAGAGGAGACGGGCTGAGAGGTTGCTGACTTCAGGTTCCCTGCAAATTTTCCAGGGTTTCGCGATATCCTAGCCCTCAACCCGGAACCCGGAACTAAACCCTAAACCCTAAGCCCTAAACCGTGGCCCTGAACCCTAAAACTCTGAAGCCCAAACCCTGCCTGGAAGGAGAAGACCCCTGTGCGCGTGGACGGGCCTTTGAAGATTGGCCGCGTCCTCAGCCCCACAAAACCGAGCCAAAATGCTGGTCTTCGCGAGAGAACCTAAGCCCTGACATGGTAACTCGGCATATTCTTCGGTTGAGTTACTGGAATGGGATGTACATGCTGAAAGGGCTTGTTTTGAGCTTTGTAGGTGTTTGGGGTTTCGAGAGACGACATGAGCAGACGGATCTGAGAGGGTTTGGGGTTTCTGAGTCCCCAGAAGTGGTATTTTTCCTGGGGTCTGAAGCCGCATCCCCGAGTTTGGAGTAGCAGAAAGGATATTTTTCCATCATACACAGTGTTTGCACATGTTCATTTCCCGAACCCTAAAGGCCTACGTTGCAAGAGTCCAAAAGCAGCAAGCTCCAACCCGTGAGCCCAACCTGAGAAACCTCGCTTGTGGGCATGGATCCTGGGCCATGCGAGGGAAAAACCTAAAATCCAAGACCCTGAAAGCTCTCGGAAATCTCAGCCTCTGACTTGGTCCCCCTGGGTTTGGGGATTCGTCGCATTTGTTTACGGGATTTCGTCTCTGTGGGTGTCTGGGGGTTTAGGTTTGGGGACCCTATGCTAAACATCCAGAATCCAAACTACGTGCAGCAGTTGACAGGAGCCTTAAAGTAGCGACCTCTACACACCGTCCTACAACACTCCCAGTTAGCTGGTCGCGCTACTGGGGTGAAGGTGGCTAAACAACGGGTTGTTGGGGGGCACCGCTTGTCTGCACTGCTCTGCAGCTTGAAACCTGGTTGCTGAACCCTAAAGCCTTAACCCGAGACCCTCAACCTCGCTTGTGAGAGGGAGAAATCACCCATGCAGGACCCTACGAATACGAGCTGTACCATGTCATCATCCACACAGGCTCGCGATGGAGTTTCGGGTCCTTGCCTATCTGGGCTTCACTCCCTCCAGCTCGAATTGACCTTAAACCCCGCAACCTCACAAGTCCTCAGACGAGCTTTTTCTAACTTCCAACTCTAAACCCACCCTGCACCCTACGCCCTAAGCCCCCAACCTTGAACAAAACCCTATACCAGTACCTACCCTCAGCCCAAAGCCCTCAGCCCTCAGCCCTACAAAGGATTCCTTTAAACCCGCTCTCTCAGAGCAGGCAAAGATGCCTCCAGTGGCCACTACTATGCGGTGGGACGGCGATCCGAGCCGGTGGCGCCTCGTCTCGATGCTTTGGTCTTCAGAGCTCTCTGGATGTTGTGGGGCTTTCATGAATTTAGGGTTTTTGTTTTTTGTTTGGGGGGTCTTTTCGGGGGTTTAATATCAGGCCTTCAGGTGTCTTGGGGATTTAACCCTAAACCCCAAACCCTGAACTTTAAGGCTTTGGGGTTCTCGCTGGGTATTTAGGTCTTCCAGAGCTGCGGGCTTCTGCCTTTGGAGAGTTCTTGGGTCTTGATGCCTTCTTTAGAGGGAGTCTCTAAAGAATCAGTAGCTTTTGTTATGGAGCTTCCGTGGCGATGTAGGTGTTTGGCCTAAAAGTCAGTAGCAGCGTCCCTTCGTAGCCCCCGCCAAAAAAAGTCGGTGAGAAGATACCCCCAAGACCCTGGTCGAAGTCTCAAGGCGCGTTTGGGAGCTGAGTTTGTCTAGGACAGTATCCTTTGTAGTCCCTGTGAGTGTGATAAGATACAGGCCTTGTTCTAACTGTCAAGGCGCCTTCGGGAGTCGAGATTTTGCATGGATGTAACATTTAGGATTTCGGTTTTGGAGGTTTAGGGCTGACAGGTTTTGCATCGCATTGGAGGTTTCTAAGGGTCACAGGGCTGTTGGGGTTGAGTCTAGAGTTCAGCTTATGGGCTTGTGAGGTTTAAGTTTGGTTTTATGTTTTCATGTTGGATCCCATTTTCAGGCCACTGTAGCCCTTACCACGGGGTAGTGCGTCTTAGCGGCGGCGCTCGGGCAAAGGATTCTGGGATTTTGCGAGTCGGAGAGATGGGTTTCAGTGCCCAGAAGCCTTCTCTCTTTAGAGCGCTTCAAACTTTAAACCTGTTGCTTGTCTTGATGCAGGCTTCAAGAGTACAGACACCTGATCTAGCTGCTGTGCCGCGAGGATCCTAACAGATTAGGGTTTGGATTAGGCCCCTCATTTTCTCAAACTCTTAAAGGCTCTCGCGCGGCAACCCTTGAAGTTGTTGGGGGCCTGGTTCTTGAACTCTTGTTTCAAGTGTCACATAAGCAGGGCAATACAAGGCACCACGCATGAGACCCGAATGGAGGTTTTGGGCCGGGAAGAACTGGGTTTAGGGTTTAGGGTTTAGGGTTTAGGGTTTAGGGTTTAGTATAGTATAGTAAACTTGGAGGTTTAGGGCTTAGGGGTTTGGGCTCTCTTTATACCGAGGTATGTCCCAACCCCTTACTACCCACATAACTTACGGATATGAGTAGTTTTAGGTATGTGCTGTTCCTGATCAAGATACCGCCTATGAATTTGCAATGGTATTCCTTATATCCTAAGGATGCCTCTATTCAAGCATCTGTTTAATCGGCCGGAGCCCTAAACCCATGAAAACCCCGAGGCCTCATAGCCGCAACTCCAAAACGACACCCGCTGCATCAGGGGAATGGCGACACCAGCTGGCCTCCTATCCGCAAGTAGGGTGTAGACCCCTAAACCCTAAACCCTAAACCCTAAACCCTAGTAGACTAGGGGTTTGAGTCCTCTTGGGGTCTTGAAAACCAAACCTTACGCCGCAAACCCTTGATATGCAGATCTTGCAGAACCCGAACACAAAGCCTAAACTCCAAACCCAAAACACCCAAAGCCCGAAATCATTGAATAAACAAAATCCGAAATCCTGACGAGCCCTCAGCCCCAAATCCTGTCCTAGCGAAGTACGACGCAAAAATCCCTGGACCCCCACAGCTCGAAGCCCTCTTCCACCCTGCTCTTGCGACGTAGTAAGACTACCTAGAATCTGAGGCATCCTTTCAGGGTTCCTGTAAGGGCTCCCACAATCTCTGCGATCGTCCCCATATACCATTTTACTAACCTCCTTACCAAGCGCTTGCAAGCACAACATAAGTGGGAGTTTTCGCAGACCCTGGCACGATGCCTACGACGGGACCCCTTCGTTCCAGGTTTCAACCCCGAGCCCTTACAATTCCAAACCCTAGCCTGATAAGTTGTGGAAAGTCCTGTAATGCCCTACAACAACGGTTGACCAATATCATAGGACGGCTTACCGGTACTACCAGTCACGCTCGTACTATCATGCCCCTCATGGGATGCCTGCTTGAAAAGGAATTGCAAGCCCAGCAGCATGGACTTGCGGATTCTGCCATCCCTGAACCGTAACCCTGTCCCCCCAAACCCTGAGCGCCGGAAGCCAAGCATGAGGTACCCCTCTGGTTCTTGGAAGCATCAGCCGACGTAGTAGGTGTGGTCTTAGGTAAATGCCACCAAGTATACATACATATACATATTATGTGTATATATATATATGTACAAACACATATGTATATATATATATATATATATCTGCACACATACATGCACACACACATATATGTATATACATACACACATAAACTCCTACTTAGAGCCCGTTTTTGCGAAGTTGCAGGATCCCTGAGGTTCGCAAGGCTATTTCAAGGTGTTCCCTAAATCCCAAACCCTGAGCCCGAAACCCGGAGGCAGGCTTGCTCAGACGGAAAAGGCCACTACACTTAAAAAAAAAAAACCCTGAACCCTAACTTCAGGTACACCATGGATGACTCGCAGATCAAGCCAGCCGAGCTTGGCTTGCTGCAGGGCAACCCGCCCGAGAAGCTCAAGGACGACAACCCGCGACTGGGCCAACTTTAGGGCTTACGTCTTTTTTGATTCAAGGATGAGGACGAAGAAAGGGACTCGCGTTGTTCGATTCTAGGGACCAGGTCCTTTCCAAAGAGGTCTTTGTCAGAAACGCAACTGACAGAAGGCCAGTTCGAGGATTTGTCGGCTTTGGTGGGGACGCCCTGGACTTTCCCATTGGGATCCAAAATGCCGTATGTGGCTCTGAATTGATCATGCATGGCTGTGTTCATTAACTGCAGGCTCGAAATCACTAAAGCCTAAACTGATGCTGAAGTCGGGGCCCGTGTGGTTCTCCGTGAGCTTGAACCCAAGGGCTCATGCCAAGCCTGCATGCCAACTCCCTACCTGCTGAGCTCCTCGCCGAAAAGCCGTAAACCCTGAAGGACAGACTCCTTGAGGATTCATCTCTCACCAAACCTTTGTTAAGCCCTTGTACCCTTGCAGAATCCTGCGCCTTCAGCGTCATAAAAATTCGAACCCCAAAAGCAGAAAGTGTCAGATTGTGTGGCTTGATGAGCGTGTAACTTGACACCTGGTCCACAGTTCTTTCCAAGACAACCTCGCTTGTGAGCATTGTTATTCTCAGCCACGCGAGAGGGAAAGCAGTATTCTAAACTTACACCCTAAACCCCTAAACCCCTAAACCCTAAACCCCTAAACCCCTAAAGCCCTAAACCCTGAGTGTCTAAACCCTAAACCCCTAAACCTTTATCCGGAACCCTAAACCGAAATCCTTCAGGTACGTCCTCTTTTACCGCTGCAAGAACGCCCCAGCGACTCCATCCTTAAGGATTCCCAAGAAGCTGGAGAGCTTCGTGAAGAAGGCCAGGGGTTTAGGGGTTTAGGGGTTTGGGCCAAAGGATTTAGGGTTTAGGGGTTTAGGGTTTAGGGTTTAGGGTTTAGGGTTTAGGGTTTAGGGGTGTGGGGGCCTAAGGGGTCTAGAGGGCTTAGAGTTTAGGGGTTTAGGGTTTAGGGGTTGTGCAAAAGGGTTTCGGAAGAAGGCCAGGCATCGGGGTTGGAGTTTAGGGTTTACGATGAAACAGGGCTAGGGGGGTTTAGGGGGTCTGGGGTTTACGGGTTGAAGGTATAGGTGTTTGAAGGGTTAGGGCTTTGGGGATTGTGGGTTGAGCATTTAAGGTACCAGCATTCAAGCTGCTAGGGCTGCTTGCTCCAACTCCAGGCGAAGTGGAAAGCCTGTTGCAAAAAGGAAGTTTAGGTTTTACGGGCCGGGACAGGTCACGGTCTGTTGTACCATCGTCAGTAGTCGGCCTTATAGGCCTTTCTATTCACACGCTGTGAGTTTTTGCTTGTTACTGTTTCTAGTAACTAGCAAGCATGTTTCCTGGGCTTATTCACACCAACATCATCATCGTTTGTGTTTTGGGCTTTGCGATTTCAGTTCTAAAGCTATGGTTGTGTCAAGTATCTTGTCACTTTGCTTTAAGGCTTCAGGAGTTTAGGGAGTACGGGTTTCGGGTTTGGGGCATCTAAAGACTAAGGTTCTATACATCAGAGTCCTTGTAGTGCAGCTTAGTACCCCGTATAGAAGCCATGAGCAATCCTTGAGGGAACCTTGCTCTAATTGTCACTGTTAGCGCCTGCCATCCCTGAGGAAGATGCCAAGCGAGAGTGATGTGACACAGGCCGCGGGATGATCTTAGGATTGTTTAATCAAGGTTTCTAGGCTTTGAACAGCAAAAAACTTCATATCAACTATTTATGAAACCATAATGTAGCAGAACCCTTGCGGGAGGGTTTTGGAGTTCAAAGGAAATTAGGTAGTTGGCCATACCGCTTTACAGTCTCTCCACGATATTATAACATACCCCAGCCCGGGTCCAAAGATCAAGTCTTGAGGAACAACTCCCATAAAACAAACGGGTGCCTAAAAGCTTCCTGCAAGGGTTCTTTCAAGCCCAGCTGGAACAACAGCGTACCATCAGGTTTTTCAGATTCGCTTTGGGTGCAGGGCTGGCGCCTTCAATCCTGCATGATCGGAGATGCAATCATCCGGTCTTTCGGGTTTTGCCTGCGCACCCAATGCTTCAGACAGACTTTCGGCACTCAGGTTTTCGAGTTGAGTGCGCGGGTTTGCCCCAGAAAACGCAAGCCCTGAAGACCCTAAACCCTAAACCCCAAACCCTAAACGCTAGACCTGAACCCCAAACCCGCGACGCCTGGAGGATCTTCGGATTTTTTCTCCGGCTTCGACGCAGGGGTTCTGTGAGCCAAAGGCTTTTCCCCGTGCTCAGATTCGGACCCAGGGCCCTTCCGGGTTTAGGGTTTAGGGTTTAGGGTTTAGGGTTTAGGGTTTAGGGTTTAGGGTTTAGGGGGACCTCCAGGAGTCGAGGAAGAGAAAGATTGAAGCTCTTGCAGGGGGTGGGCCCTCAAGACGATGATGTTGGGTTTAGGGCCGTTTAGGGTTTAGGGTTTCGGTTTTCGGGTTTATACAGTTTAGGGCCTTAGGGTCTTGTTGGGTTGCCGTGTGAAGCCCTGGGTCCTATCGGTTCCAGAGTTGTAGAAGCGCCGAGTGCGTGGCTGCAGGGCCTCTTTTCGGGTGTTTAGGGATGAGGGTGTTTTTGGGGTTAGGCGTTTTCAGGAATCTTCGGGTTTAGGCTTCAGGGTTTGGGATTTCAGTTCAGTGTTGAGGAGGCTACTAGTTCAAGGACTCTGGCTCTGAGTCTTGGTTTTGGTATTTTCTGTCGACTGTTGGGCGCAGAAGTTCCCAAAAGGGCTTACTGCGCTTCTGAGCGTACTTTTCACCTACTTGCCCAGTCCCCGTTAAGCCCTGCAGCTGCCCTAAACCTGTAGCCGCGCTGTAGCCCGAAGAAATGGAAAGTCGTTGCTAGCTCGAGGTCTGTTCAAGGTAATCCTGTCGTCGTGGTGGGACCTTCAATCCTACGCCCGCAATTCCTAACCCGCCAGCCCTCAAATCCTATCCCCAAGTCCCAAATCAAAACCCTAAACCTAAGCCCATAGTAACTTGTATTGAATAAGAGGCGATTGACAAGCCATGCACCTGGCGCTCCGATAGGGTTTGTACAGCTGCTTCAATGCCTGCCAGGAGATCGACCGGAGGGAACCCCGAAGCCGAAAGCCTACCAGATCCAAACCCCCAAATCAACTATTTCGAAACTTTACACTGCAATTCCTGAGCACCCCAAATTCGAGCGAAACTCCTGAACACTAAGAGTAGTATATCCCAGATAACCCTATTTTAGTTCTACTTATGAAGGCTCCTGCAGAACAGCCTGAAGATCTCGGTCCTTGGGGCTCTCCTCCCCCCCGGTCTCGGCCTTAAGAAATCTTTTGTGGCCAGAGGATCCACAGATGGAGGAGGCCAAGCCGCATCGAAGCTGATGTGAGGAAGGCTCAAAAACGGCCCCGTAAGCTTAGATCGCCCGCAAACTTCCCAAACCCGATAGAGCCGAAACCCCGAAAGCCGAAGCCCCCACCCCCCCCCCAGGAGCAGGAAGCCCGAATTGGGGGCCTCAAGGAGGCTAAGCGGCTTGCCTTCTCCACGCCTCTCGCGGCAATCCCGTTTCACTGCCATCGCGACCCGAAGATCTCATCCTAAGCCCTACCTGAAAACTATGCAACCATCCTTTTCAGGGTTTTTCGCTATGATTTCCTGGTTTAAGGCCGCAAGAGGGAGAGGGAGCTCCAAGGCGACGAGGCAAGCCCGCTGCAAAAAGTCCTTCAAACGGCTAGTAGGGTATTTTTCCGGTTCAGGTAAACCCCGAGACTCACACCACAATAATACCGTCGACCCAAAGCTTAGACAAAAAGCCTTCTGCCCTGAACCTCAACACCCAACTTCTCAGTAGAACCTTTTAGTCTCTTTACAAGGGATACCTAGGCAGGCGCTGACTGTTTGGGCCGAAGATGGCATCAGCAGAACAGGACCGGCTTGTCAGCTGGTGTAGAGCTCGCCTCCGCGACAGAAGGTTCTGCGAGCTGCGGCGTGCGCCGACAAAAAAACTTAAGCTCCAAAAAACCACGAAGCCCTACAGCCTCCACGCGCGTAGCCCCAATCCTACGTAGCCCTACACCTCTTGAGTCCGAGTCCGTACACCCTGATAATCAAGCCCTGCAGTGCAGGCTCGTCCTTGCTAAGTGGGAGCTCTACACCCTCAAAGCTAGAGCTTTCAGACCGAGACCCTGAATCTCTAAGACCGAAGACCCCGAAGCCCCGGCCTTGTTTTGTCGGGCTTTCCGGGGTTGCTGGGGCCGAGGCTCCAAGAGGTGTCAGGTGTTTCCTGTCACCTTCTGGCTGGCAGCGCACTAGTCTACTTGAGATGGAGAGTTTAGAGGTGTGGGCTGACGAGTCGGGCTGAGGATTTTGGGATGGAGCTGATGGGAGCATTGCTGGGCTGGAGCCTTCTTTTCCATACTCCTGCTTGCAGCTACTGTAGGCCCTGAAGGTTTGGGGCTGCACGGTTGAGCCCCGGAGAAGGTCGCACTTGGGTCTTCACGGCTTGCTCTTGCACGTCACCCGGTGAGACCCTCATCTTTAATTTCCTGCATCTCTGAGTTCAACGATTCTTGTGGTCCCCAAGGCTGACATCCTACCTGGACTCCCACATCCTAATCCTTGCGACCGAAACCTATAGACGGAGAACCACAGACAGAACCCTCAAGGCGCTAAAACATGGTAACCCTCCGACCCTACGGATCTATGATCCGATGATCCCTTCTCCGAGCTCTCCTAAGGGATCCTTGCTTGGGCCTTGACGCTCAGGCCCTGCTTGCTGGTCCTGCTCACAGCGCGGCAGGTTGGCTCTGGCTTTCTTTGGGTTTATTGGTCTGGGGTTTAGGGTTTTAGGGTGCGAGTTTGTTGCAAAAAAGGGTGCGAGTTTGTCTTAAGGGATTGCCTGTGGTTCTTGCAGATCTTGTGTGAGCGTGAAAACCGAACCCCTGAACCCAGCTGCTTCGGTCTAGCCTTCCTGCTTCTTTACATGTAGTCAGCCTTGCACCGTTGTGACTCTGTGTACTTGCTGGCTGCTATGGAGAAACGTCTTGGCATGAAAAGTCTTAAGAGGTTCGGAACTCTGGTTCCCTTTCCCTTGGTTTCCGTAACAACGCCATGGTAAAGGAAGCCCGGAAATCGTAGCCTAGTGAACACTAAGCCCCACATCCTGACCGGCGGGAGGCAAAGAGTCCTTACAGTAAGCCCTCAACCGCGGGTTAGCCGAAGTGTTCAAAGGCTCAGGGCTTTGAGGGAGGGCCTTGGGGTTTTGGGGGTTGCGGGATTCGGGCTTGCCGGTCTTGTAAAGGCTCTATATCGGTTTCGTAAGGAGTTTAGAGTGTAGAGTTTCAGGATCCAGTTTAGGAGTCATACTTGAAGGGTCATGGGACATAGTCAGTCGGTTACGAGTAGGTACCGAAAATAGTCCAGCTGGAGTTACTGTGCAAAAGAAACCGTACGTATGGCCGTCATTGTAGCCTACTTGAGGTGTCTGATCTTGCGATTGTATATGGGATGGTTCAGGGCAGCGCATTACTTGGGATGCAAACGTCGATTAAAAGCCCTTTGTCCATGCTCTCCTGACCGCCGGGCCACCAGTATCACACGCAACCCGGGTAACCCCAACCCCCAGTGCCCTCGCCTAAACCTCAAACTCTGAAGCCCTAAACCCAACAGCCGAAATTCCTTCAGCTTTGGGTCAGATATCAACTCCAACACCGCCAGCTTTACACATAACTTCTTCAACTTGAGTCCTCAAACTCGAAAAGCCAAACCCTACCGACGCACTCAGATTCGCACTCGTAAAGCCCAATATCACAGCCCTCGCAAACCTACTGCACCCCCTGTATTGCCTGCCCAGAGAGCCCACTACCACCTAATCTTGCAAAATATGCTCTGAGTCATATTAAGATTCCCTCTACAATGCAAACGGGAGTCTTGTTTCAAGCGGATATTGGGCTCTCTGTCTGCCCTAGAGCTGCCATGGCGCGGCCGGTCTCTGCCCCGAAGACTCCCCGCGGGGCGCCGCGCCCACGCGACCTGACTTGGAGAAACATGTTTTTTTTTTGCGCTTTTAAAAGTTCATTTGACAGAGGAGTTTTATCGATCAGGGGTTTGGGGGTTTAGGGTGTGGGGGGTTTAGGGCTTCGTGCATTGCAGTCCCTGCTCAAAAAAGGGTGTGGGGGGTTTAGCGAGGTAGTGTTTCTAGCTTGAAGTTAAATCTTTTTGGCGGGTTGTGGTTTATAGCAGGTTCTGCGTTTGTAACAGGCGTTTGCAGCCTGAATTGTGTTCGAGGTTCACGGTAGGAAGGGTTTGGGAGTTCGGAGTTTTCTAAGGTTTGTGCTTTGCAAAGAGCCATGAGGTCTTCAACTAGCAATGTGGCAGTGTCCCGAGATGCCAGGATTATGATTTCGGAGGTTGTTATGCATAAGGGAGAAGCCAGCGCGAGCCAAACTCTCATGATCGTGATGCCGTTACCGTGCATCATGGATGAGGGCGAATCTTCCTAAGTCTGTGTGTTGCGGTTGTTTAAAACTCACTGCAAGCACAGGGAGACTGGAAGATGAGGGGCCCGAATACAGACCCCAAGTAAGTAGTGGAGGGGGTCTAATCCCCAAACCATCCTAATCCCTAAATCCTCAACACAAAAGCCCTAGACCTTGAACCCATAAACACTCTGGCGTGCAATGCGGGTGTGTCCTAGCTAGGTCGGAGGCAAAAAAACACTCTGGCTAGTCCGAGTCGTGACGCCGTAAACATCCTAAACCCTAAACCCTGAACCCTCTCTCAGTGCACAGGCTCCGCTGCTCTCAGGCCTGATCTCGCCATGCCCAAACGAAACAACTCGGTAGCAGGGTTTGGTGGGTGTACTTGTAGGGTTCAGGGATCAGTTGTTGGTTTAAGGACGAGGGGTGGTATTGCAGGTTTCGTTTTGGGGTGGTTATTTTGGGTTTTGCTGTTGGTGTCTCAGGGCTTATCACGGAACGAGACAGTGGCCTACGCTGCTTAGCATAATTTTTGGTGTTCGTAGAGTCGCAGAGGTAGCCTTTTGCTTCCCAATTCTTGGAAATATCCTCGTCGTTTGGTATGGATAGAATTGCAGCTATGAAGCTATTGTTTTCCAACAGTATCAGCATCACTGATTACTGTGTTTCATACTCTTGTGTCTTGTTGCATCACTGGGATCGTTATTGTCTCTCTTGTTGCCACCGATAGGGTTGGTCGTGGGTCCTGTCACTTTTTCCGTTGCTGCCTCTTAGTAGGTGAACTCATGGTGGTGATGCCGCTCATGATCGTAGTGGTAGTGGCGGTTGCGCTGCGGCCGCTTTTGACTTAGTGCAGTCCCTGGTGTTACGAAGCTCGAGAGAGTGCACCGTGTCAGCAGCCGGGGATCGGACGCTCTGAACTTCCTAAAGCTCTAGGTTTTTAGATCTGCGGAGGCAAGTTTGAAACTCCTCAAAACTGACTCCAAAATTCTGCAGAGCAGCGACATGCCGAGAGCCGAAATCCTCGATGTAAACGTCTCAAACGTGGGAGCCTTAACTCCTTCACGGTGTTGCTGTCTACCTCCTAGGCCCTCAATTTCCCGAAGCCCCTAATTCCTAAAACCGCCGGGACTTCCGTGTCCTCAAGCTCCATCGACGTCTGCTTACATAGGATCCCTACAATATCTGAAAGAAAAGGGTAATATGCATGTGTAGAAGAAAGAACCCCAACTCTTAGTGGCCCCCTGTGAACCCTATAAAACCCGGATCGAGACTCATCAAACCCTTATTGAAGCGGGTACAGCCCTTCTACATTATGCCTCTTCTGTCGCTTCTAGACTCTGCATCTACACCCATTGAGTTGCCCGCTCGTCCGCCGACAGGCAGCGCGCTATCTTCTCAGAGGTCTTGATCCCCGATGAGGTTTGGCTGTTGTGCGCAGGGAGACTGGCTTTGCTTACCGGGTTGAGGCTTCGGGGTATTACGGTAAATTGTAGTTGCCTCCTTCCTCGCACCCTTGCCTGGCATCACCACCTTGACATCCCTGATGTCCGGCACAGACCCCTGAACCCTTTATAAAACAAGCACCAGGGCCCTGATACGAAGCCTGAGAAAGCTCCAAACCGCCTGACCCCAAATACCAAATCCGAAAGCAGAGCGCCGGCCAGGGTCAAAGCAAGGCCCAAAGACTCGCGGGGCCACCGCGAACACGGGAGGTTCGCTCCACCAGGCAGAGCACCGGTTTGGTGTATCATAGTCTGTTTCCGTACTTCGACGGTTACATAATTGAGGGTTAGATCAGGGTGTCTGTGGGGATTCGGCGTTGACAGGTACAGGCTTTGCAGGGTTTAGGGCTTGCAGGTTTTTTTGTGTTGCGGGATTTGAGAGGGGTCATCACCGTGGTGTTTAGCCTTGACTTCTTCAGGCTTGTATGCAAAGTTTAGGATTTGGAAGTGTTGTGGCATGTGGAGACTAGCTTATGGTGCGGGAGTTCAGCCTTGTCCCAGGCTTTTACCAAGGAAGGGGAAGCCCCTTCGGCTTCTCTCCGTGGTTTCGTGCACAGCTTTCCTTCCCAACGCCCGAACCTCGACCCCCAAACCTTGACCCCCTTTGACACTTGCTTTCGAACCCGATGAAGTCCCTACAAAACCTTACGGCCGAAACCACATGATTTATTTAGGTTTGGGGTCGGCGGTTCTTTATCCGGTAGACGAACCTCAGAAACGTAGATAATCAGATAAAACCATCTACTAGAGGACCCTCCCCAACTTACAAGAAAGCCGTCCGCTGGGAGTTACTCTACAAGATGCAGCCTCTGTGCAGCCACTGGGCACTAAATCTTGATCACTTTTCAGCCCTTACTACTCCTTCGACATTTCACCCAAGCCAGGGAGGCACGGCCCCTTAGCGCCGGCAGCTACTCGCAACGGAAGCGCGTGGCGGGCATGCCGCACTTTGCCCGCAGTTGTCACGACTTCTGCAACCCCAAGGCCCTCGCCCGTTCACGGCGAACTTTAGATTCAACCCGAACCAGCCGTAAACATCAAATCCTAAACAGCATCGGGTTCGGGGCCCCTGCAAACTCCGCAGCCGCCCAAGGTCTTGAAGACGACTAAACGTTTTTGTGCACGGGGAGGGGGTCGAATGAGCTACGATGAACCCAAAGCCCTAACCCTCAGAGCCTTAAGCCTTAAACCCTAAGGGAGCAAAAAGAGCGCGGTTCGGCGCCTCGAGGCTTCTGAAGGCTTCCGAGCCTCTGCATCCGAGCATGGAGCCCAAGGCAAGGGCACAAAAACACGGACGTGCAACAGACAAACTACACCGGTCTATATGGATAGTTCTGTAAATTAGGGTCCCGTTTTCGGGTCCCTTTGATAAGGGTGCCGTACTATATTGGGGACCTGAAAAGGGACCTTAATTTAGAAAACTACCCATATACTAACAACACTCCCTGGCTAGAGTCAGAGTCGCAGCAACACCGGTGTAGAATGCGTATAGACCTTCGCAAGACCTCTCGGAACTTAGGTTAAAGGAGTCTACAAGTGGGTTCGTCTGTTGACCATTGAGTCGGTTTGTTTCGTACCCGTTTGCCGCTGAGGAGTTTTCAGCTGCCTTGAGCGAGCATGCGAATCGAAGCCCGGAACCTTACAAGAAGCCCTTACACGCCATACCAACCCAGTAGAACCCTCGCAGAACCCTTGTTTAGAGCAACCCCGAATAGAAGCTGCAATCCTTTAGGTGATGGAGTCTGTAGACCCCAGACTGTAAACTTAAGCCCTATACCAATGTGAGCCCTCAGAAATCTTGTCGCATTCTTAGACCTACATACCGGAAGCCTAAGCCGTGTAGGTGATGGAGTCTCACCGGACCTTCGCCGGGCGTTGTCCTCGCCGCCTGCGCATCGAGCGACTGCGGAAGAAGTGACCGGGCAAGATAATTGGATAGAGTTGGAGGACCTGAAGACGACAGGGGGTCTATTGGCTTTATAGCCTTTATGTAGAGTTTTCACAGGTTGTATAAAGTAGGGTTGAGTGGGTTTAGAGTTTTGGACCCTAAAGTAAACCCTAGTCCTAATTTGGTTCAGGACTTAGTGAGCAACTCGGACTTTCGGGTTGGATTCCTGGTGCTAGAAATGAAATTTCAGTGTCCTCGTGGCAAGGCCGTGGAGTTTAATGAAGGTTTACTGATTCCAGTTTGGCGCGCAGTCATATGGGTGAGGGGTTTGAGGTGTAAGGCTGGGAATTGGTAGGATCTTTTCATTGAGACTCTTTTCGTAATCGGGCTTCGAGCTTCAGGGATTTTGGCTTCTATGGGTTTTTCAGTGAGAGGCCTTCGCTCGTTATCTAGGAGGGCAGGACCTCCAGCTAAAAGCAGGGTCGAAACCCTAAACCCTAAACCCTAAACCCTAAACCCTAAACCCTAAACCCTAAACCCTAAACCCTAAACCTTAACTCCTTCCACCCTAAAACTCCCAAGGGACCTCCAGGCCTGGAGGCTTCAAGGCGCTCTTAAGCCCCCAATTCCTAAGACAGCTGGGTCCTTGGTGGCTACAAATTTTCATTCTTGTTATAATAAACCCAATAAGGTTCAAAAAGGATCATGTTTAATATAGTATAGCCCCAACAGGGAACAATTCCTAGATGCCACCCGAATCCCTGAAAGCCTAAGCCGAAAAATTCTGAGAGCTCTCAGGTATGCATCTCTGGCTGCTCGGCTGGCGATGTTGGGGGCAACCGTAGCCCTACTCCGCGCTAGAAGATTCAACGCGTAGAGTTGCCATGATATACCCTCAACTCTAGACCCCAAAGCTCAAAGCCCCAAGTATTCATCGTTTGCAACAGCATGCGTGTGTGGAGGTTTAGGGGTTGCGAGGGTGCAGCATGGCAAGATGCAGTATAACCCTGAACTGAACCGCTACGGGTTGGAGCCCGAAAAATACCCGGCGCCTTTCAGGCCCAAACCCTAAACCCTAAACCCTAAACCCTAAACCCTGAATGCCCAAACCTGAGGTGAAAGACCCCAAGGCCCAGAAGCCCCAGCACCGGTCAGGATGTGCAGAAGCTGCTGGTTGAGCGGGACGTGGACGTCTCTCAACCCTGGTACGAAGACAAGAGCCTTAGATGTGCAGTTTGCACAGCTTTGCAACATGTTTTGGAGGTTTTTATTCTAGACTTTTCACCCTAAACACGAAAACCCTGAACCCGAAAACGAGCGACACCAGAATCACCGACACTCTGTTGGCTTGTGAAATGGACCACGAAGGAGCCCTCTCCCGCTGGAGGCTGCCGACCAATTGGGGTTTTTCGGGCATCTGCTCGCGGAGGGTTTCGGCCTAAACCAGGTTTTGTTTTATTAGGATTTTGCACCGGTTGCATTCCGGGGTTTTCGCTCACCTCAATTATCGGGGGACTTCGTAAGTGAGTGAGGCGATGGTTACTTCGACGCATGAAATAGGCCCCACACCTCAGATGTACAGGAACTTGAAGTATGCCAGGAGTTTACAGGGTATCTTGTTCGGAGGTTGTGAAGGAAGGCTGAAGGCTGTACTATGATCGTGGATATTTTGGGCGAACTGACCACTAAGTCTCAGAGCACTAGCTCTCGAGGCCTTCGATGACACAGAGTACGACCTGCGTACGCCGGAGGAGTGGATGGACTTCTGCAGCTGTGCTGGAGTAGGTGTTACGGTGTGTGATAGTTCCCAGTGTTTCGTGTTCAGGGATTCAGGGTCGAGGCTAAGTCCCCCGAAACTCGGCCAGACCCTGTAGCAGCAGGGATGAAGAATACCCATAACCCGCAAAACAATTATACAGGCACCTTCGAACCGACAGAAGCCCCAACCCCAGAAGAACCTTACGCAGAAAGCCCTAAACACAACTACACAAGTACAAAACATTTAACAGCACCATAAAACTGCTACAGGACCTTCACCACCACCCTATCAATCCTCAGAGACCCATGTAACGAACCCTGAAAAGTCGCTTTACGAACTCCCTTGGCTTGGGTCCGTTCGAAGAGCCCTTATCCATCAAGTCTGGGAATCCTCTAAGGAAACCTTGCAATTCCGTCATGACGAACCCAAAGGAACCCTCAAAGGAGACAGCCCGGTAGCCCTAAACCCTCAAATCAAGAACCCTTCTACATGCCCTTTGTTTGAGGAACCCTCTAAAGAACTCTTATGCATCCCTTTTGGAACCTTGACTCTCCTATGGATCCAAAGGTCACGATCCCAGCGGCCAGTTCAAGCCTCTGCCCGCCTTGGCTCTCTGGCGCGACCCGGACAGCGGCGCGGGCTACTGGCGGAGGGCCTCCCGGAGCATAAACACGGCCTGCATATACTTTATGACTGCCATTGATATTGCCGTTTTGTCACTTTATGTTGTTGTTCCTGCTATTGCGAATCTCAGTCAAAGCCTGGACCCGTGACTCTGTTCTACATATTCCACCCGTCCTTAGGATTGTACTTACAATGCGAAATCCACAAGCCCTAGTCGAATTATTTGGCTATGCATGATGTACACCTAAACCCCAAAACCAACACCATGAACTGCTGCCACCTGGGTGTCAGTTCTGCACATCCGCACAAGTCCTCAGCAAGAAGCATGGAAGTCTCAGATCCAAAGCCCAAACCTCTGGAGCCCGGCATCCTCTAGCAGGCCATGGTTCTGCATTACCATGCCACCGTGAAGAAGTTCGAGATCCAGTACGAGGACTAGGGGGGGGTGTGAAGTTCACGAAGGCGCCTGTGTCCGTGGGTTTAGAGTGCAGAGGTCGGGTTTCTGGGCGAGTCCCCATACAAGTATTCCATCAAACACGCCCAACCCATCAGTTCAACTTTGGAGGCCATCACATTTGAGGATTAAGGATTTTGTGGGGGTTTAAGATGATTGCTCTTCGCGCAACAAAGAGCGTACGGCTGTACTAGGTTGAAAAAAGGTTTATCGGGGTCCAAAGGGACTCTTGAAAGGTTCTGCAGACGGTATGGGTTCGATTACAGCACCATCAGTACTTTGCCAAAATCCTGTCCCTGCTGTTTCACGAGCGACTTTGAGCAATGCACGAGCTCGATTTCCACCCGAGAGCAAAATACGCATGTTGGTGGCGGGAGCCCGGTTCATGAATCCAATGTCGCAGCCCTTGCAATGTGCCGCAAGCGCCCCGGAGAAAGCGCAGCGGGATTGCGGAAAGAAGGTGCTTATTGTTTGCAAACGCACCGCGCCACTTCAGTGCAGGAGCCGCGGAACCGCCAGGTGCGACTGCCCCGAATACCAGCAATGCTTGAAAAATCACATCAACCAGCCGTAGAGCAACCCCGGAAATTCCGTGTATCACCTGTAAAAATGAACCCTTGTGCAGCCCTGCAAGAACCCTTTTGAGAAACACTTGTAAAAACCCAGCGAGTCCCGTACTAAAGAAGGACCCAGAGCCGGTTGGAAATGGCGGCCGCCGTGGTATGGTCGACCACCTCCCGCGCCGCTGGGCCTTTTGGGGGGGATTCCCACAAGGGCTCCTTTCAGGGTTCCCCTAAGAAGGCGTGAAGGTTTGGGGAATGGGGCTCAGGGGGCTCAGAAGCGCGAAGTGGGACGGGGTCAGGTCTAGGGTCACCAAACTGGTGGAATATGAGTAATAGCAAGAAGGGCTTCAGAAAAATAGTCGTGACAGTACACCGCCTAAGGAGTTAGCTCGGCTCCGGCGCCCTAAACCCTATAAGCTCTAAGCGCGATCCTCCTGGCCTAGCCTCGGGCCCTGCAGCCTGAGCGATCTCCTCAGTGCCCCAGGGCTACGCGTGATGTTTCGGGGCGAAGATCCAGAGGCCGGTGACCTGAGCTTTGGGTTCCGTTGCAGGGTTCCTACCAAGGCTACAATACAAGGATCAGGCTCCTTTTTTGTGGTACTCTCGGGGTGCCTGCGAGGGTAGGGTTTGGGGCTTTACGGCTGGGATGTTAGTCCAGGGTTTGGGATTTTGGTTTTGGGGGCTAGGATGGATGGAGTGGTTCGAACCAGGGTGATGTCCATGCTGATGTTCCTGATAGCGACGATGTGGCTGGCAATCATACCTGTCATTGGCTGTCAAGCTGCAGCTGCGGTTGTCACCACACCGTCGCTGTTGGGCTCTGTCGGAACATGGTTGCATGTGCCAGGTCTTTGCCAACCGCGTGGAGCACGCATACAAGTCGCGGCCTTGCTGCTTCCTGTACCCGCCCTCCGAGAGAAATACGCCTAAACCCTTGGTCTACATCACGCGGGTACCTTTTTCCCTTCATGTCCCTGGAAGAGCGCCAAGGTCCCGGCGGCGAGCCGAGATTCTCTTGAGACCCTCGGCAAAAGCGGGCGCAGAGTGTGGAGTTCTAAAGTTCTCAGGGCCTCAGGGCCAGCCTTATGTCTTCAAGTCATTCTGCACGTCCAAGGATACAACTTCTTCGTTGACAACATGCCGATGCTGGGTTTGCAGTGGCAACAGCTTTTCCATGGTGCGGCTCGTGTGTCCGACTCCTTTGAACCCAAAATCCTACAGAAGCAAAGCAAGAGGCAAGCAGTCTCTCCATGCCCTAGAGCGGTGAACCAAAAGCCTTAAACCCTGAAGCCCCAAGCTTAATCGTGTTCGGTGCACACCCCCTGAACCATCTAGAACCCATGTGAAATCGCTACAAGACCCTAAACCCGTAGTCCTAAACCAGCACCAAGGACGGACGATGTGCAGCAGCTGAGCACCGATCAAATCGCCTGGCTGAAAGACGCGGCGGCTTGGGCCGCCAGCGGGTTTTAGCGGATTCGGTTCAGCTGTAAGACCGGGAAGAGGGGAGACAAAGACTAAAATAAAACAGGAATACTTACGCCGTGTGAAGACGCTCATGGTAATCGAAACTTCAGCAAATGCTGCAGCCAGTGTGTACATGATTTAGATGTTCATCATAATCTCTGCCCTTCGCCCTTAGCATCTGCATCACTACGGAGACTCCACGGCTACGGAAGCATCATCTTCAACCTATCAACTTTCATCATGTTCTACTGTGGGTTCAACGGTTGCATCGTGATTGCAAAACTGTCACTGTCGTTGTCCTCGCCGTCGTCTTAATCGTCGCCGGCCTCGTCGTCCTCGTACTCGTCCTCGTCCTCGTCCTGGTCTCGAAACGACGCGTTTCTCTCTTACGGCCCTCCCTTCTACCACACGAAGACACGCTGGCTGCCGAGACCAAAACGTGCGGACCAGAGACTTCCAACACCGAGTGGGACTTCATCGTCCAGGAGGCGCCTGACTTAAACCCCTTATAAGCCCTGGGGCCCTAAGCCGTCTAGGCCCGAATCGAAGTCTTCGGACTTCGGACCCGGCACTTCGTGGGCTCACAACTACGACCTACGAAACGCCATGAAAAGCTCCACGGCAGACACAGGTCAACCGCCTTGCTATGTCTACGGGTCAAAAGCTCTAAGCTTCTCTCACTGAGCCCGAAAGCCCCTCGCCACCAGCATTCTAGCGATCAAGGGGGTTCTGCTGAAGAACGCAGGTGCAGTTGGACTTTGGCCGGGCAATGTCGCTCGTCGGCCTTCTTCGGGTTTGAAAATGTTGGTGCTTCGCTGTGTGGATCTGCTTTGTAGGGCAGCGGCTGAGGTACCTAAGCCACAGGCCCTAAAAGCTCTAAGCCCCAAACTCCTGAAAAACCCTCGCCCCCAGCTCGCCTGGTCCACGTAGCCTCTCGGGATCTAGGGCTCGCCGCGGCCGGGATGGGGTCGTCGTCCCGTTCAGGCCTAGGAGTTTCCAAAAACAAGGGGTACCTTATTTTGGGGTCCTTATAATAAGGATCCTATTATTTAGGGTACTATATTAGGGTCCCCTATTTTCGGAAACCCCCACCTCTATTTTAAAGGGGCCCGAACTTCGAAGCCTCAGATTTCTCCAGCTTTGGTTTGCAACCTTCGATTTGGTTCGGGGCCCTTGGCGGCCAGTGCCAGGCACTGCGGACCTCCCCACTTGCGGTTTCGCAGTATTCGGGGATAGGGCCTTGGGCTCTTGGGATATCGGCCTCAACACGGGCTTGGTGAAGTGCTTCAGTGTTTCGGGCGTAGGGCCTTAGGGTTGAGGTTTAAGCTCAGGCCCTAAACCCTAAACCCTAGACGCTAAACCCTAAACCCTAGGGTGGACTGAAGACCTCAAGCCGGCGCCAGCAGCTCGCATGCCTCGCCTGGATTGTCCGAGTTGGGAGTGCCGAAATCCTCGAGCCCCAATCCCTATAAACTCTTCACCTCGAAACTTCTTAATGTAGGGGCCGAAATTCTACTGAAACCCAAGGCTTTGCCAAAACCTACCTCCTGGCCGCTCAAACGACGACGACGACCACTACCTGTACTCTTAATATTTCCAAATACCGATTCTGCTAAGCATGATAGCAATTTACAATCCCTGCGGTGCGACTTTGTCAGCCGGGCGGTTGGGAAAAGCTATGACAACAATACTAATACGAATACTTGTGCAAATCTTCATGGTGAGGAACAGAATCACCTTCGACACGCACTTGCTGGAGGTGGCTCTGCTCTCTAGAGGGTTTAGAGCTGTTCATCTGGGTGGAAGGGGTGTTTTCGGTTTGACTTCCTTTCGAGCTTTGGGTGCCCGAGGGGTCTGACAAGCCCCCATATAGTCCCTTTGCAATCATACATAATCACACTATATCGTTCGCCAGAAACCTAGTTCTAGTCGTTCCGCCTTTTATAGTTCACGGCCTTAGAGTATCAAGGGTCTGCCAGGAAGACGGGAGGACACGGCTCAAAAGAGGGCGTAAAGGTAGGCAAGAAGCCTTACGATGCAGAAAGATGTTCGGTGCAGAGAGCGCGCCCTGTCCTTGCGATGCTTTGTTGAGATGCGGGCGGATGATAGGAAGTGAGCAGACGAGATGTCGTGACAATTTGAAAAGCATAATTAGCCAAGGCCCAAAACCCAAAGTACAAATCTCCGAAACCTGGCAGCGTCAACCCCGAAGTCGCAAATCCGCACATCGGCCCTGAGCAAGGCCGAAGATGGATCAGCGAGTTTGTTGTTGGGGTTTGGGGATCAGAGCCTGGATAAAAAAAGGGTTTTAGGGTTTAGGGCTTAGGGTTGGAGGGTTTAGGCGCTGTCTTGTGGAGTTTCCCGGCTGCTTGCAAGAGTCCTGGATGCAAAAAGGGTTTAGGGTTTAGGGTTTAAGGACGAGTGGCTAACTACCAGGCGTTCTTGCTTGCAAGCCTGCAGCAAAAAGGGTTTAAGGAGTCCAGATGTAAAAGAAAAGGTTTTAGGGTGGGCTTGGGCTGAAGAATTCGAGGGGTCCCTCAGACCTTTCTCCACTGACGGCCTTTCACTCGCCAAGCTCGACACCTAAACCCTTAGCCCAAAGCCTGCAAACAAGCCTCTGCGCTCTCTGACGAGGAGGACACGAAGAAGTCAGATCCGCTGCAGGCAGGTTTTGTCCGGGAATGAGGGTGTAGGGTCCCCTCTTTATTGAAAAGAACCCGGTTAGTCTTAGTTCCGGAAAATTCGTTGAAGTTGTATAGGGCTTCTGGCTATGACGGCGAGAAGCAGCTTCCTTGTTCAAAACTTAGAGCCCGAAGCCCTGAAGCCCCCAAGAATCCGTTTCAGCTCTTGGCGTCTTCTGCACGATTGAATTCCTATTGCAGCTTAGACCCTTGCCTTTTGGTACAGTTTGAGTTATTTTGCAGACCGCCTTTTTTGTGTTTGGGTTGCATGCACGAGGTCCCTGAGCCGGTTGAAGGTGTAGATTTCGGGGAACTGCAGGCAGGGCTTAAACATTTATGTGTATTACTTCGTTCCTCAACATATGTATATATACGTATATATATATATATATACATACATATGTACATACACATATACATAGACATATATATATATATGTATATATCTGGTCTACATACACTATAGTATACCCCCCCAAACCGCATTCTAGTAGGCCGCCACTTCCTGAATCCCACAAAACCTTTGCGACAGAAGCATTCTTGAACTTTCCTGGAGCCCTATTCTAAATGTCAAGGTGTTCATTTCTCTAACCCTAAACCCTGGGCCCTAGACTAGAACCTTCAAGCGGTCTTATGAGGAACTCCTGCGCCCCGTGGCGGCGCCTTGGTCCCGACGTAGGGTTCCTGAGGGTTTCTTAGAGTAGTGTGACCTTTTGGGAGGTTTGGGGTTGAGGGCTGAGGGTGTGGTGTTTGTATTGTAATTGGTTGGTCAGGGTTTGTATGGAAAACAGGTTCAAGCCACAAGACATTAAACCCGCTTCAACAAGGTTTTGTGGCTTTGTGGCTTTGGTCTTTTCTTCCGCAAAGTTGGAGCAGTATTCGCCCAGATCTTGCATAGGTTACACCTCGCCTGGAGAGAACCGAATGCATGGAGCTCAACATGCATTGTGAAGTCAGCATGTTAATGCCGTTCCAAGGCTCGTGGCGATTGTAACCATGCTCCACTTCCTGTTCAGGAGATCCTAATTAGAAGAGATTCTACCTTGTGGCCTAATTGATGGAACAGGTACTTTAGCATGTGCAATGCTTCGAGGCAGATCCTTCAAGCACTGCTTAACCCTGCAGCTGACAGAGTACCTGAAGAGGGGCCAGAATGGCTTTGATTGCGGTTTCCGAGCGGTTCGGGTGTATAATTTAGCACTATCGGGGCCGGAGTACTTACGGAGTTTGTTCCATAGCCTGTCTGGTGAAGGCTATACTATATCATACTATGCCCCCAGCGCCTGTTCCAAGTGTCAAAGCCTGGCCCGCTTCTCATGCTTCGACCAAAAAAGTGGGTGTGGACGCCAAGGAGCAGGGCCCTGTTGGTGTTGCAGCGGCGGGCGCCGCCACTCTTACTGCACCGCTGGGGTTCACTAGCGCCTCATTCTGGTATGCTCGAAGCATGAAGCTACTTGTGCATAAGTCACTGCTTGAAAAAAAACCATAGATCGCATAATGGCTGATCTAGGAGAGTGGTACCCACAGAGGGTCTGTTTGCAGCATGAAGTTTTAAGACCTTTAGGAGTTTGTGGGGTCCAGGGGCTACTGGTTTTCTTGCTTAGCGCTTGCCAGGACCTTACACCCCCGCACCCCCTGACCGCACAACCCGAAATCCTGAGCTACTCAACCTGCGAAGTAGGGCCTGCGACAGCCCTAAACCCTGAACCCAAAGCGCCTGAGTCCCTGAAGCCGATCCTGTTGGAACTTCCGGGCCTGGCAGCGAGGCTCCCGCCCCCTGGCGTGGCCGAGTGGCGATCCCGAAACACCCGTTCCAGGTGGCGCGTCTCATCTCGGGGGGCCAACGCGGCTTCGGGTTTTGCATTTAGGGGTCGAAACTGGTGCTTCTTGGGGGAGTTTTGGTATTTGAGGTCTAGGACCCTAGGTGTACCTTTTGGGCCTGTTTGGGCCACGAAAGGTGGATTGCGCGTGTGAGCTCACTGTATGTTGCGTAGCGTTTTGGGCTGAGAGATGATGATAGATGATGATGGATGATGATGGATGACGATGGTGATCTCCACGAAGGTAATGGCCAGCATGCTTTCGGTTGCATTGATTACGACTTGTCCACCACCCTCAACTCTCAGCAGGTTGAGTATGTTCGGGGCCCCAAAAATATTACTAGCATTAGTGTTATTGTTATTGCTATTATTACTATTACTATTATTATTACTACTATTATTATTATTACTATTATTATTATTATTGTTATTACTGTGGTTGTGTTTATTATCTGATCTAGCCACAAGGCCCGAAGAGCAGAAGCCGAATCCTCTGAGGCCACCTTCGCCAACCTCTGCTGGCGCACGCTGCGGGTGCGGTCTGTAGCCCGGCGCTGCTTTGGTTTCGGGAGCTAAATACGGGGGTTTTCGAAATTAGGGGACCTTATTTTGGGGTCCTTATAATAGGGATCCTATTATTTAGGGTACTATATGGGGGCCCCTATTTTCGGAAACCCCCATATGGGTTTCTAGGACATGCAGTTCGGGCAATCAGGTCTGATGTCTGGGTCTAGGATTCCATCACTGTCGGGTCTCAAGGTTCGGGAACTGCACGGTCGTCGCCCTCTTCCCTAAGTGCCTTTTGAACTTACCCTCGACCTTACTGAATCCCGAGATCTCTGGACACTTTTTTTGCGTAGCGTTGGCAAAACTCGCAGAGAGCCCCGGTGTGACAAGACGACAGAAGCAAAAATAACTTGGAGCAATACACCCAAATCCTAGAGCCCCACGGCCAATGAGCGGCACAAGCATCCCGTTTAGTCCCTTTTGGACTTTTTGGTGTGGGAGGGAGGGAAGGAGGCCTGACCATATATCTATTCCGATCATGCTAGCCTAGACCAAGCCCCTTGAAGACCCGTTTCTCCGTCCAAGGAAGTGGTGCTTGCTCTTCAAGGCGGGGCTGACCAGAAGGGAATGACGGAAAAATAGGTGCCTCAGTTTAGGCAAGTCCTGCTTCCCAAGGCCTAATCAATTCAAATCCGAGGGTTCAACGATTCTGTGACCAAGCTCCGCCTCGCCAGGCATCAAGGGGGAGAGCGAGCGAAGGTTGCAGCAGGAGACGATCTTTAGCAGCTCTTCTGCCACGGAGTGTTCGGTGTCGGGATGTCCGTGTTCGGGGTCTTAGGCGGGGGGCAAGAAGCCGCAGTGATCAGCAAAGCTATTGCTTCTTCACCAGTTCCGAGGCGGCGCAGCCACACACCATACGACCCGGGCCTTAACCTGAAGCCCTGCAACCCGGAATCGGCCCTGCCTAAGCCAGGCACCGACTTCTCTCGACCGCTGCGGTTAGACGAGTTTCGGCAAAACCTGAGGCATCTTGGCTTCGGAGTGTGCTCTAGGCTTTCTTCTGCAGCGCCTCCTTTTCTGCACCCCAAAGCTAGAGCCGCTCGCTACTAGAGCCCCAAGCGGCCCTATAAACTCGAAGTCTCTAGCAGATTCTGGTTGCCCCCCGTAAATTATAAACCCCGCCCTCTATGGGCTTAGGCCGAAATCCCACATTCCACCACCATACCTTCTCAGTCTTCAGCAATGATGCCCCGAACCCGAACACCTGAAGCCCACACCCAAACTCCCACCCAAAAAAACCCATCATCCCGGTGGTCTTTCGGAGCCTTTCTCTTCTAGAGCACTACTTTAGGGGCCTTACAATAATTAAATAGGGTTTAGGGGGAACCCCCCCAAAACCCTACTCTAATCCTTAAGGCTCCTTTTTTTATATGGTCTCGTCTGTGGACCCTGCAGGGTAGTTTTCGTAGCTGTGTGTTCGGAAGCGACCGGCTAGGTGCCCCCTCCATCGTAATCCATAGACCCCGACACGTCCAACCCGACCAAACCTATGACTGTCCAGCCCTGGCCTTTCTAGAGTCCCGATGTTCAGACGTGCTGCTGGTGAGCAAAGAGGAACCTTACTGCGCCTGCTTTCAGGTCCTCGTGCGCGGAGGCGGCGCTGTCGCTGAAGGTGCCATCTGGTCCAACTGTATCCAACTGTAAGGTTCTAACATCAGGGCGTAAGGTCCTACCAAACAAGCTTTACCCCTAAAAGCGGCCACCACTCAGAGAGACGAGGCAGGCATTGGCAGTCACTAAGCCCAGATGTTCATCTGCTCAAGACAAAAGTCGGTGCGACGTCACAGCCGTGGACCCTGGATGCGAAGTGCACACGCCGGAGCCGCGCGTCATCCTTTGGCGAAGTGTCGTGGATCCAGCTCGATTCTGGGCCTCTGGTTTAGGGTTTAGGGCCGCCTGCTGGTATGCTCAGACATTCTGTGTTTGCGAGTTCTCCTGAGCACGGTGTGGAAGCGCAGTCGTGAGAGCCGAACTTCTGCGGGCTCGGATATTCAGGCGATTGCACAAGTCCTGATGCAAAAAAGGGCCGCCTGCTGATTGGCAGGGTCTGGGTTCAAAAAGGGCCGCGTGGACGCAAGGCAATCGACCAAGACTCGGCAGAACAGGTGGCGGGGCGATCTGAAATCCAAGATGCTCGCGCCAACCAGTGACCAGAAGAAACTTTGGAGTCGCTGTCCGTGGTCTGAAAACGTCGGAACAATGAGGGCCTTCAAGTAGGAATAAGCAGAAAAGCAGTTGAAGAGATTTCGTTACTAAGGTTTGCACTGCTGAAAGTTTCGGATGCGGCAGGGTTTCAGAAGCTTCGAATTGCTGAGATCGCTGTGCTGCACTGCCAGCAAGGGTGTTAAGGGTCTACTGTTCGAAGAAAAGCAGGCGCAGTCTTGTTATGTGCAGCATTATGCCTTCTAAAGGTCTAGCATAAGAACCTGAAGCATGACGCATCCTGCAGGCCTTAGGGGAATTCCCAGTCGGACGTCCAGGGCTTCGGGTTCAGGTTTAGGGCCTTTAAGGCTTTCAGACTGGGAAGTGTGGGAGGGAGGGACTTACATGTGGCTTCCCTTGCAGAAGGCAGAAGGTGCACGGCAATAAAAGGCTTGGACGTCTCAGGCACTGGTCGTGGAACTAAACTAAATCTTAACTCCGAAAATAGAACCCGGGAAGCCTCGAGGCCTAAGCCCTGTAACACCTCTCAGCTGCTAGTTCCACTTATGCCGGTGAACGCAGGAAGCATGGCCAGCGGCTTTGCAGACGACGGTGCCAGCCCGGGTAAGTTGCGTGAAACCCAACGTATGATTCACCTATTCTTGTCATTACGATTGATGCTGCTCAATTGGCCAAAAACGTTTTTTTGTCTGACGGGTTAAGGCTTTGGGATTCAGGTGTTGGAGCGTTCAGTGGTTGTGCCCGCCATTCCATCAAGCCTGCAGAGCGGCTGACCTGAATGTCCCATCCTTGTCTCTACGTAGTTCAACCATAGGATGACCAACACCTTGTTCTAGCTCTTATATTGAAGTAAGTGGCCGGCAGCCAGCATTAATACATGATTCTGAAACAACGAAATCAGTCTTTCTGGATAGTAGGTAGGGAACTGGACTTGTGCAAGACACAAGCGGTTCCCGAAAAGCTGCCAGATGCCAACCCGCCTAGCTTTCTCATCCTTATCGAGATGTGGCTTTAGGGATGAGTACAGGGGCGTTAATAACTACCTCTACTATGTTGGGGGTTCCCTATTATAACAAAAGTATAATATGCCCCCAAAACCTTATTCTAGTTATTAAGGCCCCTAAACCCTAAACCCCAAACCCTAAACCCCTAAACCCCTAAACCCTAAGCCCTATTCTAGGGAAAACGGGCCCCTACATCCTGAACTCTTCGACTCCCGGCCTGGAGCGACAAGTCACAGAGTCCCATTGCAGGCCTGCAACCAGCCCTATTCAAAGCCCCCACCTTCCCCAAAGGCCCCAAGGGCCGAAGGCCTAAAATCATTAACGCCTCAATCCCAAAACCCCGAAGGCGCAATCTCCCCAAGTCTCCGCAAGCCCCTGGACTGTTCTCTAAACTAGGGTCCTTTGTGGGGTTTTTGGGGCCTGAAAAGGGGACCTGAGTTGGAGAACTGCCCAGTTACAACAGCCTTAAGGTGATCCGGGAGTTCGAATCCATCCAGAAGGGATGGTTCAACGTGCACGAGAAGAGCGTGGACCGAGTCGGGTGGAGAAGATGGGCTTTGTCAAAGTTTCGGTTCTCTCTTGAGCACAAGAAATTTACTTTTGGCCTCTTTCGCGCAGAGGTCGACGCCAGATTTTGTTGAGGGTTTAGATCTTGTGATGTAAGACGAAAGGACTTAGCTCTCCCTCTCTCTCTCTCTCTTATATATATATATATACCTTTAACACCAAATGACCGCGTATACTCGGCTATTCGCTTGCGATCGATC